GAATGACCATCTAATTTGGCTTTTTATTATCCTGTCTTAACATCCCATAAACGGATAGACTTATCTACACTACCAGATGCTAATGTAGTACCATCAGGAGAGTAACAAATTGAAGAAACTGTATTAGAATGACCATCTAATTTGGCTTTTTATTATCCTGTCTTAACATCCCATAAACGGATAGAGTTATCATCACTACCAGATGCTAATGTATTACCATCAGGAGAGTAACAAATTGATAAAACTGTTGATGAATGACCATCTAATTTGGCATTTTATTATCCTGTCTTAACATCCCATAAACGTATAGAACAATCTGCACTACCAGATGCTAATGTAGTACCATCAGGAGAGTAACAAATTGAATAAACTACCCAAAAATGACCATCTAATTTGGCTTTTTATTATCCTGTCTTAACATCCCATAAACGGATAAAGTTCTCATCACTACCAGATGCTAATGTAGTACCATCAGGAGAGTAACAAATTGACGTAACCAAATTTTCATGACCATCTAATTTAAATAATAGTGACAAGAAATACCACTTTCAGGAAGATCATACTATTAATTTGTTGAAGGGTTATCTTTATAACGATTATTTGAAGATAACATTTCTACCCTGTCAAAACAGGAAATTAAAATAATTCTTCACCAAATGGATATAACGAAATTTATGATAAAATAGAAAGATATCCTTTTTGTTATAACAGGCCGTTATCTCTCTTACTGTTTGTGCCATAACGCTAAAACTTTTTAAGAGAATTAATAGAGTTATGTAATTTCGATAAATTTTGTTAATTCTAAAAATTTATTGTCTAATTGAGTAAAACTTAAAGTTATAGAGAAGAAGGTAATTTCTTAATTTCATAATCAATTAATAAAATTAAACTAGTTGACTGATATTATGGTGGGTTAGAATACTTATTGATGATTAATATATCTTTTCAGTCCTTTATTCTATCGAATACTTTTAATATCAATTGAAAATAATAAATAACAATTTATAAAAATATTACCAAGATTGAGTAATTGTAAAATTCATTCAATCCCAATTTTTAACTTTATCTTTCTTCTTATGTTTGTTATTAATTGTATAATTACCTTTTTCTAAACTAAAGATATAAATTTTACTAAACTATTAATAATCTTTATTACGACTAAACCTGTTTACTCTGTTTACATTATAAATTTAATAGTGTATTGTACATCTATAAATATGAATGTATAAAAGTTTTTCTAACATCTCAATATTATCCAAATATTTAAAGAGTAACAAAAAACACATATTATGCAAAAATTTATAAGAAAATGATTAAAATTATAATTGCAATGTTTTAATGAATATTCAAATTCACAGAATCGTTAAGCTTTAATTCTGTTAATTTCGACACAACCATTTCCTGAAACATCTTGTTTGAAACTGTTTGTTTTTTTTCCACCTCATGTTCATATAAACAATCAACACATAATTTCCTTTGATGTGAACACTTGTGGGGAGCTATACATATTATTGATATTTGATTTTGAATATGATGAGTGCAATTCATAATCTTATTAAAAATAATATTGAATTTCTATTACTTTGTTTTGAGTTTTATAATACAAACTAATTAAGTATTATGTGAAGGAAATACAAAATTACTCGCAAAAACATTTATATTCAAAAATTATTCCCTAACCAATATATTTAAACTACTTCCCTAACTTTGTAATAAAAAATCTAGAAACCCCCAACCCCAACATTTTTTTCAGTTACTACCCCGTACAAATTAAGAAGTAGTATCACCGGATTTGAAGTTGAATGTGTGGGGAGGACAATTTTAGGAGGCCAAAATTGTCTTAGAAAAAAAAAAAGG